CGAATATTTCTGCGCGTGATTTGATTTCGCCTTATCGGGTTTGTGTTGTATTTTATCGCATTACTCTACACTCGCCTTTATTGAGGAGGTCGGGAACAACTGTAAGCGGAATATCCCGTATTTCATTTTTTTTGGGACATCGCAAAGTTCGCCATGCGATATAAAAACATCGATATAAATATATAATAATTACTGCTCCCCCACCCCCAGCCCGCCTCTCTTCTTCACATACAACAAAAAAAACCCCTCCCATCCCATTAATTTGCGTCTGAAATAAAATTTTGCCTGAATCCCAGCTTCTGAGAAATTGTAAATATCGGTTGGGCTGCCACGCAATGGAGACTCCTCCTGGTGCGGCACAGCGGGTGGACAAAGTTGTGCCCCTCTCTCGGCGCGGTGTCGATCAGACGCCGCTCCAAATGTTCTCGCGAGTAGCTCAGTGAAATCCGCTTCAGCGGGCCGTTCTTTGAGTGCTGCATTGCTCTCTGCGACAGATCCAAATGGATTATCCTGTCTCGTGCTCTACTAACCGCGCTGTTTTGTTTTTGTGGTTGCTATGAAATAATCGATACAACTTTTTTGTATTATGATCCAATTTAGTTTTGCAAAGCACTCCAACTGTCATCGGTTGTGATTGCTGTGCGCCTCAGAACAGCTGTTGTAGGCACCATGCATATTCGCTGTGCAGCCATCCAGCTGTTGATTGATCATAGGTCATGATGGTGATGATGAATTACAGCAAACCATAGACTTCCACGCGTGTATCAACTTCATGGCTGCATACCGCAGTTACATGAGTCGTAATAATGATAATAATCAGACTTTTGTCAATCGACTGCTGGATAAAGGCATTGTACTGTCGTGTCGATCTTGGGGGACTGTTTGACCATACTTCACCACGCTGCTCGGCGTGGGTCGGTGACCGGGGGGGGGGGAGGTGGGGGGGGGAGCCCACAAATGGTCGGATATCACTCGGGAATTAGCCGTGGCGCGGAATCCAACTGAGGTCGCCTGAGTTCGTAAGTGCAGTGCGCTAACCATGTCGCCACCGCTCCGCCCGCAATTGTAAGGTCAAAATGGGGGAGTGATTTTTTTTTCTATGTCCACATTTTTATATATATATAAAAACAAGCCTTAAAATGTCGACGTTCAGTGCAGTTGGCGAAATATTCTTCATCAGAGGGAGGCACGGCACACGAAGGGGAGTGGTTGGTTGTGATAGTGAACGTGGTGGTGGCTTCAAAGTGAACCTAGCCTGGCACCAAGCCGCCGTCGTGACATCACCACCGTTTTAGTGTCGAATGGCGGCTGTTGTTGCGATCGTTGTTGTTGTTGGCAGCCTTGGGGTCAACCACATACCCGCGTGCGCCCGGACCGCCTTTGTCTCCCTAGCGGTGAAGTTGACGTCCATTGAATGCGCGCGCCCACCAGCCACGCGTGACGCGTGGCTGGTGACAGATGCCCCTTGCACGCTCGCTCATTGCTCGCGCGCTCTTAGAGTAAACATCGCTCGCATATTAGTAACCTGGGGGGGGGGCTATGGAGATAAAGCAGTGGGGGGGGGGGCTGAACAAACGCTCCCAATATTAACAAGAAGCGAATAATTAGAGGCCAGGCAAAGCGAAAATGAATATCTAAGGCGCGCTAATGAGTGATGCATGATCATTTCCCAGCGCCGCGCTTTCGGGATATTGATAAATGCCGAGCCACTCGCTGGCGCTAATTGCCTTTGACGCCTGCCCAGCGATTAAACGCCTCCATCAATCTCAGCAGACATGTTTGCATTTTGCCTCCTCCCCTCATCTCCTTCCTTCCCCCTCCCACCATTCCTCCCATCTCCCTCCTTCCCCCCCTCCCGCCCTCGTCCGCCCCCCTCTCGACGTCTCTTACCCCACCGTACTTGCAGACTATGCCCGAACGTCATTAAAATGTCATAAACGCAAACGTAATGGAAGAAAATTGCTCGCATTAATAGCCTTGAATATTGAAATATATAATGTATACAGCAAGAAAAGAAGCCAGGAGAGAGAGAGAGAGGGAGAGTGGGGAGGAGAGGATCGTTTATTGAATTAGATGCCCCTGCTCGTGGTAGGGAAGTTACGCGGAGTGGGGAGCGATTCCATTACCGGCGACTCGAGAGGGAGCTTGCACCGGGGATAAGCGGGGGGAGTGAGTGAGAGGCTAAAGGGGCATCCCTGCAATGTTGTCGCTCAAGCCGCCGCTGACGGCAGAGCCTCACTCCGGAGGGAGCTTTGCCGAGTTTCTCCTGGAAGAGGAGAGGGTATCGTCGCAATCAGAATCTTGATTTAGACTGCAGGAGGAATCCGATAAGCCACAAAGCTCTTTTTTTCTCTATCTCTCATAGATGGTCCAGTTTTGGGCGGTGTCAGCAAGTGACACGCTGGCCAAACGTCTCGGAAGTGGTGGAAGTTACTCACAATTGTACCCCACGGTACGCAACCTGCCGTGACGGGACCAGCTATGGTGTTACCCGTGTGGGGTGGGGTGAATGGTGGAAGGGGGGGAGGTTAAGACACGCAATTATTTATTTCGACTGCCGCGCCGGAAGATCGGACCGATGACGTCGGTTCATAGAGCAGTGCGCACACCACTGCGTCACCGCTCTGTCACTCTCATTGCCTCCCCCAAGACCAGCCATTATCGAGCTTAAATTAAACATAAGTCGCTAACCTAATAACACTCGCATGGACAGATCCGACGAGATCGCCTTCGTTCCGGGTGATTCTGTCATAGGCACTGTTCGTATGTGTGTGTGTAACTGTGTGTGTGTGTGTAACTGTGTGTGTGTGTTCTGTGTGTAACTCTGTGTGTGTGTAACTCTGTGTGTGTGTTCTGTGTGTGTGTGACTGTGTGTGTGTTCTGTGTGTGTGTGACTGTGTGTGTGTGTTCTGTGTGTGTGTGACTGTGTGTGTGTTCTGTGTGTGTGTAACTCTGTGTGTGTGTAACTCTGTGTGTGTAACTCTGTGTGTGTGTAACTCTGTGTGTCTTCTGTGTGTGTGTAACCCCTCTGTGTGTGTAACTCTGTTTGTGTAACTCTGTTTGTGTAACTCTAAGAAGGAGTTGGAGGCGCTGCTGCTGAACCTGGAGCTTGCCACTAAGATGTGGGGCCTTACCATCAACCCCACCAAAACTAAGCACCTCCCTGGGTATTTTGTACCATCGGACACTCCACGCCCACAAATCCCAATTGGTAGTTGAGGAGAGAGTGGAGAGTTTCCCAAATCTGGGCAGTGTACTCATGACCGGCTCCGGTTTGACAGCGGAGGTCTCTCTCCGAATCAATCGAGCGACATTATCTTTTCATCGGTTGCATAACGCTGTGTGGTAGCTAACCTGGTCTGTCACTCCGCACGAAGCTTCAGGTCTTCTCGGCCATAGTCATTCCCTCCCTTCTCTACGCTTGCGAAACGTGGACCCCCCTAATGGAACATCTTCGCCGGTTAGAAACATTTAGGCTGGCCTGCCTACGATCCATCCTGGGTTTAACCAGGCTGGATTGTGTGAGGAGCTCACAAATCCTTGAAAGATCTGGACAAAGTCCCATCGATGAACTCCTCCGGCAGGCAAGGCTGCGTTGGCTGGGTCATGTAGCCCGCATGCCCAGCCACCGCATGCCTAAACAGCTTTTGTTCGGCCGGATCGAGGGGGCTAAACGGGCGCGCACGGGCTAGAGAAGAGATGGAGTGATGTACAGGAGGATGTAGAGCTGAGTGGACTTGCCGATGACTGGTACCAGCGGTGTCAAGATCGACCTCTGTGGAGGAGGCTCGCGAAGGACGCTACTGGGCAGTTGGAGGTAGTCGCCCTCCAACAACAACGGAGGGCGGAGGAGTAACGCTCACAACAACGAGGGGAGCGCCGGGTGGCTAAAGCACAGCAGGTTGGCACAGTGGAGGGCACAGGTGGTGCATCAGCCAGTCATCTCAGTCAGTCTACCCGTGGCACCTGGGTCTGCCCCGTGACCTCGTGCCAGCGGGCGTTCGACACTTCACGTGGCCTCAACGTGCACATAACCTGGCACAATTGTCGTGGTGACGTCATCGCCACTTAGTGGCGAATGGCGGTTATTGTTGTAACTCTATGTGTGTGTGTGCAACTCTACGTGTGTGTGTGTGTAACTCTATGTTGTGTGTGAAACTCTATGTTGTGTGTGTAACTATGTGTGTGTGTGTAACTCTGTGTGTGTGTGTGTAACCCTGTGCGTGTGTAACCCTGTGTGTGTGTGACTCTGTGTGTGTAACTCTGTGTGTGTGTGTAACCCTGTGCGTGTGTGACTGTGTGTGTGTAACTCTGTGTGTGTGTGTAACTCTATGTTGTGTGTGAAACTCTACGTTGTGTGTGTAACTCTCTGTGTGTGTGTAACTCTGTGTGTGTGTGTGTGTAACTCTGCGCGTGTGTAACTCTGCGTGTGTGTGACTCTGTGTGTGTGTGTAACTCTGTGTGTGTGTGTGTGTAACCCTGTGCGTGTGTAACTCTGCGTGTGTGTGACTCTGTGTGTGTGTAACTCTGTGTGTGTGTAACTCTGTGTGTGTGCAACCCTGTGCGTGTGTAACCCTGTGCGTGTGTGACTCTGTGTGTGTGTGACTCTGTGTGTGTGTAACTCTGTGTGTGTGTAACTCTGTGTGTGTGCAACCCTGTGCGTGTGTAACCCTGTGCGTGTGTGACTCTGCGTGTGTGTGACTCCGATACATCGATTGGCTCGAGGCGCGACGGATTAGCCGGTAGGTTGCCTCATCGAGCCGCGCGTGAGGTGCCGTGATGATGCATGCACAGTCACACATTCACGCGTCTGAAAAAGTGGTCGGGGTTTGTTGCGACAGGAATTGATGCGTCCCATGTGACCTCTCTCAATCCCACACTCGCGCCACGCTCCTCTCACGCAAATGGACTCCGAATCTCGCTCGCTCGGTCGCATCCTCGCTCTCCATCACACCGTCACGTCCCTCGCTATGCTGCGTGTTCACCCACGGACATATTAACTCATCGTCACCATCATCCTTCCCACAATCCCAACGTCGCTCGCGCGCACGCACCCACCCACCCACCACTCGCTCACTCACTCACTCCCCGACATTCACCACCCACCTGTTCACTCCTCTACTCACTCGCTCACAAACTCGCTTGCCCACACGTTTACCCACCCATCGACTCACTCGCCCATTCACGAATCCACGCACCCAACCACTCATTTACCGACTCACCCACTCACCCACAACTCACTCGCTCTCACTCGCTCACCCACCGACTCACTCGTTCACCCATCCATCCCCCGGCTCCGCCACAAGGTTTGGTTCCAGAACCGGCGCGCCAAGTGGCGCAAGACGGAGCGGGGCAGCGGAGACACTGACGGGGACCGGGAGAGCCCTGGGGGAGAGGCGGCGGGGGCAGCGGGGGCAGCGGCGTCCAAGGCTCGAGCCTCCAGCCCCGAGCCCCCGCGGCATCGCAGGGAGGCGACGCCCAGCCAGCCCAGGTGAGATCTGTCTGTGTGTGTGTGTCTGTGTGTGTGTCCATGTGTGTGTCTGTGTCTCTGTGTGTCTGTGTGTCTCTGTGTGTGTGTCTGTGTGTGTGTCTGTGTGTGTGTGTCTGTGTGTCTCTGTGTGTGTGTCTGTGTGTGTGTGTCTGTGTGTGTGTCTGTGTGTGTGTCTGTGTGTGTGTCTGTGTGTGTGTGTCTGTGTGTCTCTGTGTGTGTGTCTGTGTGTGTGTCTGTGTGTGTCTGTGTCTGTGTGTGTGTCTCTGTGTGTGTGTCTGTGTGTGTCTGTGTGTGTGTGTCTGTGTGTCTCTGTGTGTGTGTCTGTGTGTGTGTGTCTGTGTGTGTGTCTGTGTGCGTGTCTGTGTGTGTCTGTCTGTGTGTGTGGTGGGGAGCGGTAGTGTAGCGGTTAGCGCACTGCGCTACAAACCCGGCGGCCCGAGTTTGATTCCCGCTCACGGCCAACACCAGTGATGATTGTCCGAGCCGGTCTTGGGCCTCCCCTAGGTCGACTTGGCCTTAAATTAGTACATGGTGCAATGTGTTAAAAACATCAGTACTGGGGAGACGAAGGCGGCCGGGAGTGGTCCTGGCCTTCATAGGTGCTCGTTAACGGCACTTGCCCCAAGCGTATATTGAAGACTACACAAGGATCTTTGTAATTGCATTGCCCCTAAACAATACACTTTTCTAAAGCCCGAATCAAATTCTGCCATCGCGGTCACTTCTCTAACCAAGCCTCCCTGGTTATCCACGCTCCGTGCCTCCCTCGACCTTGTTACTCACGGTTCGACCCTGCCCCCTCCATCCCCCCCCCCCCCCCCCCCCCACTGCAGCGGGGGTCGCTCGAGCGTGGGGCCGCCTCCGTTCCCGCCGCCCGCGTGCTTCCCGGCGATGCTGGCGCTCAGCACGGCCTCGTACGCGCGCGCCCTCACGCAGCCAGGCCCCCCGGCCGGCAAAGGTGCGAGCTCTCGGCACGTCCACCGCTGAGTCGACCAGTCAACTCGATAAACTACTGACAAATGTAGACGCCTTTTAGATCAACGGGTTAAGGCGCTTTGAGCTGCGTAGCTATTTTTCAGAAGCGATCTGGCCATCACCAACGATAGCTCAACCGGGCGGCTTGTCACGTGGAAATGTTATAGCGGCAGCCAAACGCTCTAAACGCGTGATGTTTATTCTTAATGTGGAGGGGAGAATCGGAGGACCCGGAGAAAAACCCCACGCGACCTCGGGAGAGAGCGGCAAGCAAACTCCAAATCTCAGCAGGTGTGGGCGTCGGGGTCAAACCCACGACCTTCTGTATACCAGGCGAGGTAGTTGACATTGTCGCCATGTCGGCCATTGCCACGGTTGGTCAGCCAATCAGGGCATAGGCTGACATTGTATCGGTCAACAGAGATGCGTAAATAGTCGGACAAATCCACCCGCGTCACTTGGCCAGTCAAAGTCGGTCGGTCAAAGGGTCGCTCAAATACCTGGTCAATTGGTTAATTATGGGGATTTTCCCGTCAGTTAACCGGTTGCCCAGTGAGTCGGTTATTCAATAAGTCAGTGAACTATAAGGTGAATTAAAGTCATGCAGGAAATCAATTTAGTCAGTCAATTAAATAGTCGGTCAGTCAGTCAGTCAGTCGGTCGGCCGTTAATTAAAAAATCAGCCGGATTCATACTCGAGCAGTTAATGGATCCGTTGTCTGGACAGTCGGCCAGTCTGATGAAAGGATGTCCAATCAACCACAGAGTCAGCTCAACAGTCAGTAGATTTTCTCGACAATGAACACGTCGGTACATTAATGAAGCATTCAATTGGTTGGTGGGGCGATCAATCAACAAGCGAGTCAATCGAACAGTCACTTGGTCAGTCGGTTTTTTTCAGTCAATAATCCATTCGATCAGCCAGTTGAGACAAACGATTCAGGCACGTGGAGACACAAGGCAGTCACGCATGCACCACCTGACAACAGAGGACTAACAACGACACAATGCCTCACACCACACCGATGACACAAAGCGCGCGCCTGTGACCCTGCACTTTAAGCTAAGGGTAGGTGGATCACACAGACGTTTGTTGAACATTCAAAACTTGCTGGACTGCGAGGTGACCAGAAGATGGCAATACGACACGTTGGCTGCATGGACACTCGAATCTCTGCACAGATAGATTCAAGAATCCATTGCTGACTGTAACTGCCCGTTTACCTGGCCCACTTGCAGCCCATACTTACAACACCTGGCACCTCCAGGCAATCTCACATCCAATACTCAATTCCAACCATTCTCAATCCGTCAATGGACTAACGCCTCCCCAAGCCACGTTCATCATCGGTAGAGGCTGGAGGGGAAGGGGGCAGTTATGACCATACTTCACCACGCCGGTCAATGCAGGCTGCTAAAGGAGAGGGTCGCCACTCCACCCATCCAAATACCCCACTGACCAGCCTCGGGCTTGCTTAGCACAACAGATCCAATGCGACCGGGCGCGTTAACCCAGCGGAGATACGACCGCGTCCGCGCGCGTGAGCCCTTTTACAGCAGCAGCTCCTCCTCCTCTCCCCATGCTTCCCCCGCGCTCGCGAGCAGGAGGCGGTGTCTTCTGCCCGTGCTGCGTGGCCGACCCTTTGGCTGGACCGCTGCCCCCGATGCTGCCCTACGGCTGCCCGGCCCCGCAGCGCAACGCCAGCGTCGCTGCTCTTCGCCTGCGCGCCCGGGAGCACGCGGCTGCCCTCCTGCAGCACACTGCCCGCCTGATGCCCTCGGCTGACCCCGCTCACTCGGCCGGAGCGCACGTGTCGATGCTCCGCGCACAGAGCCTCGGGCTCAACTTAAACCTGAACCTGGGCTCTTCGTTTGGTCTCCCTCCTCCTCCTCCTCGGCACGCACCTCCTGCCACCTCCGCAGCAGCAGCTGCAGTAGCAGCAGCAGCAGTGTCGTTATCGTCATCATCATCAACAACAACATCATCATCGCCGCCACCAGGACTCGCAGATTCTGGAGTTCACCTGTCCTCCACGCGTAATCATGTGGGCAGCGGTGAAGGTAGCGCCCAGATGCAGCAGCACATGCAACAGCAGATGCAGCAGCACATGCAGCAAACTGCCCTGCTATTGCGACAGCCTCTGAAGCCGCCAGCTCTCCGCAGCATCCTGCACCCAATGGCCCCATCGGGCATCCACCAGCAGCTGGCGTCTGGCAGCATCGGCAGCGGCATTGCTGGATTGATGGATCCAAACTGTACTGCGACGCTGGTGACGGCAGTGGCCTCCTCTGATGGTCCAGCTCCTGGTGAGAACGCAAGGAGCTTGCAAGCCAGAGACAGCAGCAGCAGCAGCGGCAGCGGTAGCGATCATGAACTGTGATCTTACATCAAGCTTCGTCCATTGAGAGCACATTAAAAAAAAATTTAAATGAAAAATAATATTTGCCCAACTCTGGACACATCTGACCGGGGGGTGGGGGGCTGATGATTGCTGTCTCTATGTCGCTATGTTTCACGTGTCTACGTGCGTCTCTCTCCGTTTCACTGTCTGTCGCTGTATATTCCGCTGGTGTGTCTTTCTCGGTTGCTCTGTCTGTCTCTCTACGAGTCTCTACGATTGTAATATTCCACGCCAATCTGTGTTGCTTGTGGCTATCTCTCTGTCTCCGTATATCTGTGTCTCTCTGCGTTTGTCTCTCCGAAATGTCTTATCTCTCACTCACCGTCTGAGATCTATTTGTTGGCACCCCCACGTACAATGTCAGTGCCCCTCACCCCCTCTACAGCTTTGCGCTCTGGACGGCTGCCCTGATCGCCCGCCCCCCCCCCCTCCTTAACTCCGCACTCCACTGCAGGTGTCGATCAACGTCCTACGGGTCCCGTCGCGTTCCACCAGGATCGGGGGTGGGTGCGGCGAGCATCGATGCCGCCCATTGTAATCATCAATCTCCTTCGCTTTTTGGGATTTTGTTGTGCAGGTGACGGAATATGTCTCCACTGTCGTTTGTCTTTTTTGATCGGAATATCTGGGTGCTGTTGTTTATTGATCCTGAAGAGGGTAACAGTTTTGTTTTGTTTGCCCCGTCGTGAATTCATTCGCAACGCAGTTCACAAGAGAGTCGCCGTGGTCTCCAGGCGTTTGGAAAATGCGCGCCCAAAGCAAATGTAAACACGACCCTACCGCCACTGAACGCGTTGCACTCTCAACCCGCACGACAAATGTCGAGGTCGTTTATTCAAATGTCCGCCAGGAGAGCGACCTCACCCGCGGAGATGTTAACTCGCGCATCTTCATCGCGGATAATAGAGTCGATGTGCCGCCACGAACAAGTATGGCTCCTTCTAATCGGCGAGGTCGCAGATAATCGGGGGTGACAGGGGGCGGAGGGGGGGATGTAGTAAATAGATTCTGGCTGCAGCAGACAAGAACGCGAACGTTTGCACGCACAGGCTAGACCCCGCTTAGCGCTCGAGATGCGTTCAGTGCGAGCGCTGGTAACGAAACGGGCATTCTAGGAGGGGTTCGCGCTAAGCGAGGCTCTGCCTGTATATTCCTCTCGCCGATTGGAGGAGCGGCGCCGGAGTGAGCAGGCAAGGTTGTTGTTGTTTTTGTTGTTGTTGTTGTTTTTGTTATTTGTTTGCAACCTGCTGCTTCTGACGTGCACGAGACCCCTTACTGGACTCACATTATTTGGCGGCGATGCTGCTGCTGCTTTAGCAGTGGTGCACCGAGAACAACTTTACAATCAACTCGACACATTCGATAACACGCATTGCCTTAAATGGGGGGAAATGGGTGTATAATAGGCGACGTTTCATACCACGGCCCCTCTTCATAGCAAAATACGGCAAGTACTACAAAGAAGGGGCCATTCGTGTATGTGCTATGAACAAGGGCCATGGCTAAACACGCCGCCTAATATACAGGGTGCTTCAAATGTGTTTTAACACTTCTGAGAATTTGCAACAATGCCACAAGACACGTGCCTCCGGGCTCTGGAGACGGGCTGGAGAAGATTCCAGGCATGAGTTGACAACGATGGCGAACGAGTGGAGACTTTAGGAAGCTATTAACATATATTTGTTATCATGCTACAGTGTATTATCCATTCTTTTACCATTAAAATCGCGATAGTCCCGTGTAAGTGTTAACATTTTTTTGAAGCAGCCTGTATATTGTTACGGCGGTGTTATTGACGAATGCGTTGGGTTTCTTTGTCACTTGAATCGGCGTAAAATAAAAAGGCACGCGATGTGTGGGACCCACGTTGGTTGTTGGTAATCGTTGCCAGCAACTGATACAACTTAAACTATTTAACTATGTTTTTTGCCAGGTAAGGCCCACTGAGCTATCTATACAGCTCTTTTTTTCAGAAGCGATCTGGCCACAAATGATAGCTCAACGAAGTGGCTTATCGTCGCGTGGAAGTGTATCGCAGCCAAATACTCTAAACACGTGGTGATGTTCAAGTCTAAACGTGGAGGGGAAACCCGGCAGACCCGGAGAAAAATCCACGCGACCACGGGGAGAGAGAGAGACACCGCAAACTCCAAATATACAGCAGCAGGCGTCATGGTCGGGATCGAACCCACGACCTCCTCCATATCAGGCGAGGTAGTTAACATCTCCTAGCCACCGTGGCGCTCACGATCACGTGGTGGCTTAGTTAACCGTGGCGTTGCTTCACGGAGATTCCATTGCGATTATTCATGTTGTACCCTTGTATTAAAGTATACGCGAGACTTTAAATAAAACGTATAACTGACTGTATATTCAGCCCTGCCTCGTGTTTGGTTATTTGAAATGTGTGGAGAGGGGGGGGGGGAGCGGAAGCGTCGAGGTTAGCGCGTTGCGCTACGAACCCGGTGACCCCGAGTTAAATTCCCGCTCACGGCCAACATCCTTGACGAACACACGCAACGCGTGGAACTCGCGTGAGGCCGAGTCTATCGAGACGAGGTGTAATATTTTGATGGCACCTGCACATGGTGATAGCTGTTGACCGGGACTCGAACGCAGGCTAGTGGTCGAGTTGATAGCGCAGCGCGCAAACCACTGATTCGCCACTCCGCGTTGCACACAGAGACACCCAGAGACAGCCAGAAAGAGAGAGAGACAGTATTTAACACCGAAAAATACGGCATACACATGCCACACAAACAACATCACAGACTACGCACATACGTAGACAAATACTCGTACGTACGGTGCGAAAGAAGCTCAACATACATTCTCACTTGAGGTTAAGTCGACCTAGAGGGTTCGGGTCGCCAGGTTCATAGCGCAGCGCGCTAACCGCTATACTACCGCTCCCCACAGAGTGACACACATACACACAGCGACGCACACTCACACTTGACTCAACCCACACACGCAAGGACCCACCCAACGCTTCCTCCACCGCCGTCAACTGGAGGTGAACCGAGGTGGGTCCGTGTTAAGTTGGTGGCTTCGTTGTGGCCGAGTAAAGAACGGCGTGATGGCGCAACACAGCAGAAAGCAAACCGTACCCATTAGCGCGCTAATTACTGCTGTCTGTAATTCGATTGCGAAGTCGCGTGTTCATCTCGCGTGTTCATGTCGCGTGTTCATCTCACGTGTTCATGTCGCGTGTTCATGTCGCGTGTTCATCTCGCGTGCTCATCTCGCGTGTTCATCTCGCGTGTTCATCTCGCGTGCTCATCTCGCGTGTTAATCTCGCGTGCTCATCTCGCGTGTTCATCTCGCGTGTTCATGTCGCGTGTTCATCTCGCGTATTCATCTCGCGTGTTCATCTCGCGTGTTCATGTCGCGTGTTCATGTCGCGTGTTCATGTCGCGTGTTCATGTCGCGTGTTAATCTCGCGTGCTCATCTCGCGTGTTCATCTCGCGTGTTCATGTCGCGTGTTCATCTCGCGTGTTCATCTCGCGTGTTCATCTCACGTGTTCATCTCGCGTGTTCATCTCCATGAGCGCGCGTTGCCATGGAGCCAAAGAGATGAACCCATAGAGGCTGACATTTCAATACCTCCACTCCTCTCCCCCGGCAATTCCTTGCATTGTCTCGATCCTAATAAATAATCGATCTGTATTGTTTCTCCTGAGTTAAGTTTGTTTCTATATCACGTGTAGGAGACGGTACTCGCGCTGTCTCTCGCCATTAGCACGCGTCTGACATTAGGGAGTCGTTTGCATATCACTTACGTGAACGGAATGGGATCGCCAGCCAAAATAATCAACATTGATCGATGATTACAGAACGTTAATCATTGCACCCCGACGAATCAGACACGACGGGTTAAGCATTAAGACGTTTGTCGTTAGTGTCGTGATATTGAAGAAGTAACCTTATTTGTTAAATGTGTTCATGAACCGACCAATTACCTCGCGCAAAGCCAACACGGCACGGGGAATGCATTCAATCGTTTATTTTTTCCGTCTGTTTACCGAGGAAAGCATCAATGCGTCTCAAGCCTCGTCCTGTTTTTCTTTCAGTAGGGTCCTGCCACGTGTTCACAGTCGGCAGGCCAATGTTGCCGCTGTGAAATCCCAATTGAGTAATTTGCAATGAACTTGCATCAGCATCGGGGATGTTACGCTGCACGGTTTTGTTTTAACCACGGGAGAAAAACCGGAGAAGCCAAAGGAAACCAACGCAGGACAGGACGGGGACGAACCAAGCCAACACATTAAGGCGCTCGAGTCGGGAATCGAACTCAGGCGCCTCTTTGATGCGAGGCCCGAGTGTTACCACTGCACCACGCTGCAAGTTAATGATGTGCATCTGTACGTTGCAAAACAAAGAGACGTTTTAGGTCCTAAAATTGTATTTGTCAGCTGCCAATGCTGTCTACAGCAATCTAAATCAGCTCAAGCCTCTCGTAAATCACGTGACTTGGCTGTGGGGCCACACCCACTCTGAATATCTCCCTTCGCCCCGCCCCATGTGAAAACAGACGCTGCTCCGCGCAGCAGCGTCGAGGCTCGTATCGAGCCTCTTCCTCCCTCGTCCTCAACTTTCCTGACCCTCTTCTTCCTTTCCTCCGTTACTTTCCCATCCCGTTTCCTTCTTTCATTCCCCACTCCCCCCCCCCCTCTCTCTCTCTTCTTCTCTCTCCTGTTCCTTTCTCGTTCTCCATTCATTACATCATTGACTCGACTCGCCTTCCCGGCGAGTGCAGCCACGGTTACAAACGTTACTCGTCGCCCATTTAATCGACGAATGATATGTTGCCTCGAGTTTATTATAGACTGGGCGAATGTTATCTGCATGGATGGAACAGTGGCGTGCACTTCACCAACTCGCACTGACCAGCGTGAAGAGGTTATGGTCAAACTCCCTACGACCTGGAGGAGGCATTCCTCCATCTAGCAGTAGATTGATGAAGGGCCGCGACTTAAGTTATTTCTTTAGATAATTACAGACAAATACCGATGTGGAAAGCGCATTACTGCCTCGTGTTAACGCTCAATTGTACATTGCGTTGACGAATTAAACGCCACGTGCGACACTCGCTCGACGCGTCTTCACGCAGCGTTGATGCGCGCCGCTTGCGTCGTGTACGGCGTTTCGAGGCAGCTGTGGGCGAGTGTGGAACTTGTGGGTGGAGAGCCGCAGCGCTCTGCGAGCCCGGCGATCCGGTCGCGGTTCCCGCTCACGGCCAACACCCAGTGACGATCGTCTGAGCCGGTCCTGGGCCTCCCCCTAGGTCGACTCAGCCTCAAATGAGTACATGGTGCGGTGTGTAAAATCATCACGACTGTGCGTGATGCTGGCCACCCCACCTCCTCGTGTGCCGTGGCGGCTTTCACAGGTGCTCGCTAACAGCACTTGCCACCAACAGTCTGTTAAGGCTACACGGGGAGTCTTTGCCTATTGTGCGTGGTGTGTGTGGGGAGCGCTGGCTCAGTGGATCCTCGGGGAGGCCTTAATCCGGCAGTGGATAGGGCATGCCTCGTGACAATGATAACGGTGGCAAAGCTAATCAAACAATCGCGTTATTGAGTTGAACTGGACGTGTTTATATTTATTTTCGGCAGATGTATAATTTACGCAGCTTTTTTATCGGGTGAACAACACCATCGGGATACTTATTACATTGCACAAATAATAACAGCAGTTCTGACTATTGTGTGGGCGCGCGCGCTGAACGTTCAGAATTAATTCTGCGTTCACGAGATTATGACCGTGCGGAGTCCAGGTCTGTGTTGTCAGTCATAAATAATGCCCCGCGATGAATGAATGGCTTTATTACCCGCTTGTTCTAAGAGAAAGTAATTGTATTTTATATCGCATTGCGGGAGACGGGGATGGATGCAATAACACTGCAAATGGGTTATAAAGAGACGCAAGGCCTATATGTATAGGACCCCAGGTCATACTATGTAGGTCTGTATATATTTATCTATCTACTGTCACGTATGGGTCTATGAGCCCTTTGGCTTTGAGAATGGGACATTGGTACCAATCAAGGTGGCAAATGCTACCACTACTTTCCTCGAAACGTTTTAACTCTGTAGATCAACATCCTTATTCGATAGCCAAGGTTTTCCGTGGTAGATGTATTTTGTGTCCTTTAAGGAGGGACCGTATTATGCCTAAAAGAGAATATCGCATCGGGGAAAGATAAAAAAAAGTTACGTGAAAATACCGACGGAATGTGAACAGGAACAGCAGGCGTCTCTGTACATAAAACATGAATAGCAAGCGTCTCTAGATATAAAGAGACGGGCAATGCGCGAAGCTTTCTGCCCATTGTTGAGTTCTAGAACTGTTTTTTTTTGCGTTCAGTTTGCTTGTTGTCATTCTGCCACACCGCCGATTAGCACGCGTGGCTGTGGACGGTGCGAAAGACACACAACACACACACCTACATATACATACTAGTAGCTTTGTTGTACGTGAAAAGACAGAAACACGAAGAAGACACATTGCCTGCCTATGTTTTGTTCTTTATATTCTCCACAACGACGCTGATAGTTATTTGGCGTTTTGAAATTCGATTCAGACCACGGCTAATATCAGTGCCGAGTGACATCTGACCTAACCAACAGCGTGGTTACAGCATGGTCGACGAACCGTTAGCAGAGATACGACGAAAGGCTTTAAAGTCCCATTTTAAATACGTATTTTAAAGACGTATGCCTGTGTTCATATTTTTAGACCAGAGAATGCTAAAAGGCGAAATGCACAAGGGCCATGCAAGTCTCAAAGTGTAAATAGCTCAGTTTGAGCAGTTATGTCTATGACAATGCATTTATTATCAGAGCGTGTTTGTTTGCATGTTTTACCACAAATGTGTATGGTTAACGCAGACCTGATGCCTTGCATTAAGTAACTATTTGGTGTATTAACACCGACATGTTAAATTTCCAGAAAGGATAAAGCCAATTCTTATTATTTCATCATTTCCATACTGCGAAAAGGTCCCGTAGATAATATTTATATATTTTTT